GTGTGTGTGTGTGTGTGTATGTACGTATTAATATTTAAAGGTATATGCACAGGTATATGTACATGTGTATATGTATGTGCAAGTGCCTATACACTAGTATGTACAAATAGTAGCTTAGCATTGTCCGGTATGTAAGAATTCAAATCACATATGCAATCATTCATATTGTATGAATATATATATATATTATATATGCATATGTATATGTATATGTATACGTATATGTGTATGTGAGTGTATACTTGTTTGTGCAAACAGCAAACAAGGATACACATACCAATACCCCGCAGGCATGCCGGTGTTTCTGTTATTGATCATCTTGACTGTATGTGGGTAGAATCCAGCCTGATTGAAGGCCTGGGATATGAATATGTCTGTCATATACGGTTTTAATTCACCGCACCATAGATTTGTGTTGCCACTCTGCTGTTGCACCGGGTATTGCCCCTGCTGTTGCGCTTGCGCTTGTACTTGCGGATCCATACTGTGTATAAGATTAGACCACTGACTTCTTTCTTGTATAATTGTCTGACGTGTCCCAATATGCTGTCACTGTGTGTACAGTGTATTGAGATATAGTTCTGTATGTGTCTCTGCACGTATGATAGTGATTATTATCTCTTACGAGTCCACTACATAGAGGTCCACGCAACGCCCAGGCACTCTGTCAATCTGTCTCGCCCTCTTTTTTTTAACCTTATCCTTCTTGTGAGTATTATAGTCGCGTTGGCGCCAATTGCTTTTTATTTTAATTTTTAATTTTTTACTTCAGAGGTTCAGAAGTTCAGAGACTCGACTCAGACCCAGAGGCCCCAGAGTCAGAATCAGACACTCCCGAGTCCCGAGTCCCGAGCGTCCCGGCACGTGAAATTTTTGAGATGCGGAATAAATCCTTATTTTCACAATTTCTGCTTTCAAAATGGACGGACCTGATTTGATCCGATACGTCAAGCTGTCGTCTGCTGAGTGCTGACAGCCTGACACGACACATTCTATGCGTCTATTATATGTGCGTTTGAATACATGCTCGTTTTTCTGACCAGAGTACACCTGTATATATATTGCTTAAATTCCGAAAACATACCTCATTAACCGTTTCTTCATCGGCGAATAGCATAGAACTCAAGAACCTATCCAATATGAGTAACTCAAATAACGGAGAGTGCTTTGTAATCGGCGACAAAGCCCAAGGGTACGCCAACTACCCCCATATGCGGAGGGCAGGTGGTCTGCTGTTTGTCTCGGGTATCTCTTCACGTCGACCTGACAACACGCACCGAGGCGCGGAACAGAACGATGATGGTGTGTATGGTCGTCTATACTATA